GTCTCCCGCGGCACCCTCCCGACCCGCCGGCAGAGCGGCCGGCGCCCCGCAGAGGACAAGCGCCCCACGTACGAGCGGCCTGGGCGAGCCGGCCCTGGTGGGCGGACGGGGTCCCACCCCGCCACGACAGCGGGCGGGCTCTGGAAGGATCGCCCCCGTACCGTGCTGCCGAAGACCCGGCGCCAAGGCTCAAAGCTCGCGAGGTGACCCGCGAACCAGCGGCCAACCGCGACGGGCGCGTCCACAAAATGGAGCTGACAGTCGAAAGCAGGGCTCGCCCCGAAAACAGCTGTGACGCCAGAGGGCGGAGCGCCCTTGCCTTCTGTGCGCAGGCGCGGCGTACGGGGCGGGGCCTGTCGATCGCTGCGCGCAGGCGCGGAGCGCGACCCGACCTGCGGGGACCTGTGTGCGCAGGCGCAGGTCCCGGCCCCGCAGGGGAGAAGAAAGGGTACCGCCGGCGGGAGCCATGTTGGCTCTGGGTTGGTGCAGAGAATAAACTGCGGGAGGGATAAGTCGCCTCCCCGTTGGAAATGGTCAAATAAAGGATGTACCTTGATTGCCACCATTAAAATGATGCTTTAAACGTTAGTACACCGGGCTGGGGATTTAGCTCAGCGGCACAGCGCCTGCCTGGCAAGCGCAAGGTCGTGAGTTCGATTCCCGGTACCGGAAGAAAAACAAACAAACAAAAAAGTAGTACACCAAATAGCCAACGTGAAGAAAATGTTCAAATCGCTGGTCAGTACAGAAATGCAAACTAAACACAGGTTCCGTCTTAACTCCGGAAAGACTGGCTGTAGTTAACATGCTGGAGAGGCTCTGGAGGGTGAGGGGAGGAACATTTACACACTGTCGGCGGGAGTTCAAACAACCGCTCCGGAAAGCACTGTGGAGATTCCTCAAAAATACTAAAACTAGGGATCCCGGCTAGTGGTGCAAGCCTGTAATCCACCACTTGGGCAGCCTAGGCTACACAGCCGCCTGAGGAGTTCAAAACCAGTCCAATCTGGGGAGACCCTGTCTCAAAAAAAGAAAAATAGGAATCCCATTCAACTCAGCTATTTCTTTTCTAAATATCTTCCCCAAAGAGTTAAAGATATAATGATACGTGCACATACAAGTTCATAGCACAATTTTTTTTTTTTTTTTTTTTTTT